TTTGACACAATATAAAAATTTCATAAAAGAAAAACATAAATGAAATATAATAAATTGATATAAAGAATAAAATGAGTCTAATGAATGATATGAATAATGTTGAATATTATAATAGTAGTTGATTGTATTTGAATAAAATAAATAAAGAATAGAATAAAGAAAATAGAGAAATAAAGAGATATCAAAAGAATTGAAATAATAAATTTGAGTCAATTGAATAAATCCATAAAGTATTATATTAAATATAGAATTGAAAATTGAAATTGACAATGTTGAAGAAATTAAAAATTTGTTATTAAAAACTTGATGTGTTTTAATAAAAATTAGTTCTACCACAAATAAACATACTCCTTAGAGCTTCTAGAAGAAGGATTATTGAATGAGATTATACTATAATGAACAAAGAACAATAGAAACTAATTCCATTTATACTTAATTTATTGCTTTTTATTATTTAAATTTCAATTTTTCTCTTTAGGAGTCTAAGTTTATTTAATCAAACCATTGAAGTATTTTCATGCTATCAACTGTAAAAATTGAATCATTTGAACAAAAGTAATTTGTTCCTTTATCTGTTGGGTCAGTATAGTATTTCCAAAAACGTTCATTTGAAACTAAGAAGCTATTAAATACTCCAATGAATAAGAAGCCACTAACAGTTAAAATACTTTCATTGTCTAAATGAATTTTAAGGATTGGAGAAATAACCTTTCTTTTAAATTTCATTGGGTTGTGATATGGGTTGTTCAAAGAAAAAACAAAGTGATTATAGTCTTTTTTGGAATATTCTCCCATTTTTTTAGGAACAACTTCATGAAAAGAACCAAATACATTTCCATTCCAGTCTTTTATGATAATCATAATATTATTTCTTCCACAAATAGAACTCCAAATTTCTTGGTTTAAAAAAGACTTTTTCTCAGAGTCATAAATTACCAAATACTGACGTTTATGACAAAAAGAAGATAATGTTGTTGTCATTAAATTAGATGGTTGGTTTATTAATAGTGTATTAATTTTATTTTGGTTTGTGTGTACTGATTTTTTGTAAGACTCAACATCTTTTTCAATTTCTTGTTCAATTTCTTTCTGAGTTTTGGTTTCTTTTTGTTCTTTTTTAAGGTATAATGTAGGAGTGATTTTTTGCTTACTGTTTTTTAATTTTTCTTGATAGTTGATTGATTCACATTGATGTTTTGTATTTTTTATTGTTGGTTCTCCATAGAGATTAATATTTCCATAATTAACTATATTCATAATTAATACAGCGTTATTAGTACTATGTTTCATTTGATTTTTTATGTTTCCTGTCATGATATCTCTTTAAAGTTTTTTTAAATTACAATTCTTTGTTCTGTTCAATAAAATAGATTTGTGTTATAGTTAAAAAACTATTTAAACAAAGAAAAAATTTATAAAAAACTAAACAAAAAATGTTTTAAAAAAATCAAATTAATTGAGTTTGATGTATTTGATTTACTCAATAATTAGTATTTCATCATATTGAGAAATGAATGGATCACTTTCTTCATCACGTTTTATTTCTAATGAAATAATTTTTTTTTCAAACATTATCAATTTAATTATTCTTCATTTAACTTGTTATTTGACTTTTATTTTGATTTTAATGATTATTATAATAATTCATTCTTTCTGTTGATGTTTTACGATGAATATATTAATAACACTATGACTTTGATTAATTTTATTTATTATCAACAATTACTTTTTTTTATAATACCAATATATTCAACTAAAAACTATGAACATTAAATATATTTATCTGTTGGAAAATAAATAAGTAAATAAATAATAACAATAAGATACCAGTCTTGAATAAGCATTATCTTACTAGAGAAAGTGACATAACCAAAAAATAACTATTATTAAAAGATTTGAAGAAATTAAAAATAACAGCAATAATTAAAATTACTAATTCATATGAATTTTTACTTTGAAAATTGGTTTAAATATAAGTTAAAAGTAAAAAAAAATAGAAAAGTAATAGAACGAAGTTACTTGTAATATGTGGATGGAATTTCTTTCAAGTCATCTGGTAATTCTTTCATTTGTACTGCAAATCTTGATTGAACTTCTTTCAAAACTTTTTCATCTTCTTCAGTATCAATAAATGAAATAGCAACTCCTTTAGTTCCAAATCTTCCAGCTCTTCCTACTCTATGCAAGAATTGATCAGAGTCTAAAGCCATATCAAAGTTAACAACCAAATTAACTTTTTCAATATCAATACCTCTTCCACATAAATCAGTTGAAACTAAAATTCTACTTTCACCCTTTCTGAATCTCTCAAACTCTCTTTCTCTTAAATATTCTTCCATCCTACCATAAAGAATACCACATGGATATTTTTCTTTCTTTAATCTTTGAACAATAGCTTGACAACGTTCTTTACGATCAGCAAAAATAATAGCTTGATTGAAATCAATTTCATCTAATATTTCTCCTAATTTATCTTGCTTTTCCATGTCTTGTAATTTTTTACTATATAAGTGAAGTCCATGAAGGAATAACTTTTCTCCATCATCAATAAATACCTCAAATGGGTTCTTTAAATACTTACGACATAAGGCTTTATTTTGTTCAGAAATAGTTGCTGAAAACATCATCACTTGTTTATTCTTTGAAGAGCTCATAAACAATGACATGATATCAAGTTCAGATTTAGATGAAAGAATTTTATCGCATTCATCAATAACAAAGGTATCAAGTTTACTAAGATCTAATGCCCCAGAATTATTTAAAGAAGCTAATCTTCCTGGTGTACCAACAATAATAGTTGGTTTTCTATTTTTTAAATCATCTACATCATTTGATTCTGGATTTCCTCCAATATAACTAGCTGTTTGAATATCTTTACCAATTGACTCAACAAGTCTTTTTTTCATTCTATCAAATTCATTTTGAACTTGTCGAGCAAGTTCACGGGTATGACAAATAACAATAGCAGAAACATGATCCCCTAAGAATAGCCCTTGGTTAAGAATTGATAATACAAAAACAGCTGTTTTACCCATACCTGATTTTGCTTGGCATAATATGTCTTGACGTAACAATGCCTTTGGAATTACTTGTGACTGAACTTCAGATGGATGTTCAAATCCACAATCAGTAATAGATTGCATAATTTCTTTTTTCAATCCCATTTCTTGAAATGAAACTGTACCGACATAAGTGTCTTTGTTTGATGGTTCAACTTGCATTTTAAATGTTTCAGATTGAACAAAATCAGGAATTTGCATTGTTGGGTCAGTCATTGGGGTTGTTTATATTTTTAAGTTTTATATTTTTTAAACCCCTCATATAAAAAAAAACAAACCTTTTTTTTTACTTTTTAGAAAAATTATGAAACACTATAAAAGGTTGAGGAATAAAAAACTAAGAAACATCACTTTATTGAGAATGAGTGAAGAGATTGTATCACAACTTAATTCTTTATTTGTTAAAGATGAAATAAATGATGTTGAATACGCTTCGTTGATTGATAATCTTATTCAATATAATGATCCAAGAACAAAAGAATATCAAATTTTTATTAAAAGTAATTTTTTGAAATTAATTAAACCATATGACATTGATGAATTTATTTCAAATTCAGATTATATTACTTCTGCAACAAAGGGAGCTTCATTATTATTAGATAATCAAGAAAACGAATCTTCAAAATTTAGCACTATTCCATTAAAAAGAGAAATATTAGTTTCTGATGAAATTCCTGTTATTAAAAAGAAACAAATTACTATTGATGATTCTGTTCCAAACCCACCTCAACCTAAAAGAATTCAAACTAAAAATGAGACAGGATTTCAAACAGCAGCAGAAAGGTTGTATCAAGATGAAATTAGAAAAGGAAATAACCCACAAAAACCGAAGAAAAAATTCCAACCACCTTATAAAAAAGATAATATTCAAGAAAATAAGGAAAAACAAACTAAGATTAATAAACAAAAGAAAGGAGATGAAACAGAGGATTGGATAGAAGATGTAAATGGAGTACCATTAGATGATCCACGATTAATTAATAATGACCCTTCATTATTAACAAAGATAGTTCATGAGATTTTAGATAAATCTCCAAAAGTTACATGGGACGAAATAGCAGGATTAAAAAATGCCAAAAAAATTGTGCAAGAAGCAGTTATTTGGCCAATGTTACGACCTGATATTTTTACAGGACTAAGAGCACCACCAAAAGGATTATTATTATTTGGACCACCAGGGACTGGAAAAACAATGATTGGTAAAGCAATTGCAAGTCAAAGCAATGCCACTTTTTTTAATATATCAGCGTCTGCATTAACAAGTAAATGGATTGGAGAAGGAGAAAAGTTAGTACGGGCACTCTTTGCTGTTGCATCATGTTATGAGAGAAGTGTTATTTTTATTGATGAAATAGATTCGTTGTTAAGTGCTCGAAGTGAAAGTGAACATGAGTCAAGTAGAAGATTAAAAACAGAATTTTTAGTTAGGTTAGATGGGGCAGGAACAGACGATGAACGAATTTTAGTTGTTGGAGCAACAAATAGACCACAAGAAATAGACGAAGCAGCAAGAAGAAGGTTAGTAAAGCGATTGTATATTCCATTACCAGATATTGAAGCACGAATGACATTAGTTAAGACATTATTAAATAAAGTAAAAAATGAAGTAAGTGAAGAAGAAATTAATATTATTGGAGAGAAAACTGATGGTTATTCTGGAAGTGATATGAAAGAACTTGTTAAAGATGCTGCATATGGACCAATTCGAGAACTTAATTCATTACAAATGAATATTATTGATGTAGATACATCTCAAGTTCGACCCGTTCAATTAAAAGACTTTATTGATTCATTGAGAACAATAAGACCATCAGTTTCACAAGATGATTTAGTGGAATATATAGATTGGAATAATAAATATGGAAGTGTAAGTTCTTAAATGTAATATTTTTATAATAACCATTTTTTTGGTATTTTTTAAAAATAAAGAAATAATTCATAATTGAAAATCTAGAAAAAAAAAAGAACTAACAAGAATAAAAAGATCTGTTATAATGATTGAACTGTTTGTTCTTTAATAAAGATAAAAGAAGTTATTAACGCTCATTATTCAGTACTCCAATTCAATATAGTAAAGGAAAAAAAGGAAAATTTAACGAAGGAAGTATTTCATTAATTAATAATAAAATTATATGTTTAAAAAAAGAAAAAGAGGAATTTACAATTGATATTCAAAAAGCTATTTTAATTAGAAATGGAGATTTAATGAAAAAACTTGAAGAACAACAAATTAATAAATCATTTCAAATAAATACTGAAAAAGAAAATTATATTTTTTTATTTAATGATTTTGGAAAATTTATTAATTGGTTAACACAACTTGGATTAAATATGAAAATTAGTGGAACATATGGATATCCACTTCGTGTAGCATGTTTAAAATCAGGATGGAGATATCCTGTTCCATTTTTTAGAAGTATTCAATATTTAAGATATAATGGAGGAATTACCACTGAAGGAATTTTTAGAGTTTCACCAAGTAGAGATGAAATGATGGCTGTTAAAAAAATATTAGAGTCAGACACAACTTCTCAACCAATTGATTTTGGAAATGTTCGTATTGCATCAGCTGTTTGTAAAAATTATTTATCTTCTTTGGATGATCCAATTATTCCATATTTTAGATACGATGAATTTGTTAAGTGTGGTAGATGTGTTGATAAAAAAGAACGTATTAAACAACTAAGAAAATTTCTTGAAAGTCTTCCATCAATCAATAAAAATTGTTTATGGTATTTGATTGATTTTTTACACTTAATTTCAATCAATAAAGCTATTAATTTAATGGGACCAATGAATCTTGCAGTTTGTTTTGGACCAGCTTGTGTTAGAAATCCAGATTTAACATGGGAACAAAGTGCTAATGATCTAAACTTAATTCAAAATGCATTTGAATTAATGATTGAATCTTATGAACAAATATTCAAACATATTAAAGAAGAAAATGAAATGATCTAAAAAGAAATGTAATGAATTTATTATTTTTTTTTTAATTTGATTTAAGAAGAGAAAGATCTAAAGAACCCATTAGTTGTGGAATGTGATGATTAATATAACATTCATTAAATGTTTGTTCTGGTGCAGAGAAACTAAAACGAACATAAACATCTGGGTTTTTGAAATAAACATATTTTATCATACATTTTACTTCATCATTTTGAATTTTAGTCTTACAAATATCACACCAACAATCATATTTTCCATATTTCTCAGTTTTTTGAGAAATCATTTGAGTTGTTTTTTGATTTTTTAAATTTAATCGTTCCATATTAATAATATCTAATCCTGTCTCTTTTGGAACTCCTGTTAATGGAGTTACATTAATAAAAAATCTACATATTGCCTGTTTATCAATAAACATTGATGGAAGAATATCACTAATTAAACCATATTCATCAGCTGAATTAATTGGTAGGAAAGATGGAGAAAGAGAAATACTATATTCCGGATTAAAATGAAGATATAATGGAAATTTATCTTTTAAAATTAATTGTTCATGACTATAATTTGAAAGAATAAGAGTAAATAATGGAGTTATATTTGCATTTTCATGAAGTAACCCAAACCATACTGAATAGAATGCATTATTATATTGATGATAAGCAAGATAATGATTTTTAACTCCATAAATATTATTTGGTGAAATAAATGAAAGAATTATCCATGAAATAGAATTACAATTTAAAGTAATAGTTGTTGTTTGAATTAATCCCCACATTTGTTCAATTCTTTTTTTAAATATTTTTTCTGATGAAACAATATCTTTTCCAAAACTAAGATTAATTGTATTGATAATATCATCATCATAAATTTGAATTGTTCCAGTATAAAATACACCATTTCTTTTAAAATGATTTGGAACTCTAACTTTAAAATCTTCTTTATATATTGTTTGAGTTACAACTCCATTGAGTATTAATTTATGTGATTGTTTAACATTAGAAAGATCAAATCCTTTAAGAATTTCTATAAGTTCATCAAATGAAATAAAAGTAGTTGACATTAATTCAAAGAAAACTTTATTATATTCAAAAAATAAAATTCCCATTTTTGCTTCTTGTGTTTGTTTTGAATAAAAGAAAACCTTTAATTTAAAAGGTATTATAATATCTTTCCATTCCCCAATAACTGAAAGAGAATCATTGGGTCCCATAAATCCAAAACTTTGAAGTTCATTTATAATAATATCATTAACTGTTTCTTTAATTGATATATTTCTAACTTGAAGAAAAAAATTTTCGTTTTCATGAATAAAACGATATTGTTCTGTTAAAGATTGTTCACCTCCTTCAATTGTAAATTCATCATTATAAGTAAATGTATAAGAGAATAATTTTGACAATAATTTTTTTCCCATTTAGTAAATGTTCAAAATATTGAATTTTTAGTTTTTAATAAATAAAAAGATGAAGAGAAAAAAATAAAATTACTAAAAAGATTGGTCCTTGAACAGACCCTCCAAAAATTCCTTCATCTTCAGTAAATCTACTAACACGGTTATCTTTAGTAAAAGGCGAAAGATAAGATCGATCTTGTTAGTAGTGAAGATTACTAATTTCTTATTTCAATTATTTAATTTAATAAACATTATTTTTCTTTTTAAAAAATTATGGGTTTTTATCTATATTTTTTTTTTTACGTTTTAATTATTTGTGATTATTTAAAAATATAATACTAATCTAAAAAAATATTATCTCATCTTAAAAATATAAAAAGATAAATGGCAGAAGAACTTATTCAACAATTAAAAGAAAATGAAAATGGTTACATTGATGATATTTATAAAAATCATTCTCATCAACAAATTGAAAATACTACATTACAACAATTAAAAGGATTTCTTGCTGATAAGTCTGATGAATTAAAACAAGCTGTTTATGATAATTACCAAGAATTTTTAGCTATTACTAGAAGACTAGAAGAAATTGAACAAGACTTTATGACAATTCACACACAATTTAATGCTATAGGAACTGAACTTGATGAATTAAATCAACATTATGCAACTGAAATGAGAGAACAACAATCTAAATTAGATAAATTAATTACAGAACGATCTTCATTTCTTAATATTTCTAATTCATTAAATAATGAAAATAATGATATGACTAGTAAAATACCACAACTTAGAAAAGACATTAAATATATATTAGATGCACCAAGTTTACTTCAAGTATATCTCTCTCAATGGAATTTTGATGAGTGTATTAAAATTCATGATAATGTTAGACATTTACTTAATAAAAATAATGATTTAAAAAATGTATTAAAAGGACATGTTGCATTAGACCAATTTGAAGAAATGATTGATCATATTGTAGATAAATTAAAAAAGAGATTATTTGATTTATCTTTATCATCTCGTCAAACAGTAGTAATTATTAATCATTTAAAAAAAGTAACAAATGAGGAAAAAGCTATGTTAATTTTCTTAGATGCAAGAACAAAAACAGCAAAAGAAAGAATTGAAAGAGAACTTCATTCTGAAAACTTAAGTTTAGTTACTCAAAATGTTTGTTCATTTGCATTTCCATTAATTAAATCTACACATAGTGTATTTGTTACTTCATTTCCAGTTGCTCCAACATCATGTTTTGCATCATGGAATATTTCCTTAATAAATTTTGTAATGAATAGTTTAGAAAAGAAAATTGCAAATAAAGAAGTTAAACAAAATTCAATTAAAGTTGATTGTGTTGATAAAATTATAACATTATATGATATTGTTCCTCAAGAACTTTCATTAGTATTTATTGTAAGAAAATATTTATCTAATATTGTTCGAAGTTTATCTAAATCAAAAGATGAAATTGATCCTAAAATGATTCAAAAATTAACAAGTCATGGATTTGGTTTTCCATTCTAATTTCACTTTACTTCTTTTAAAAAAAGTTTTGATTTTTTTTATAAAAATTTATTAAATTATTCATCTTCACCTCCAAGCATATGATATTGTTCAATGTAATTAGGGTCTTCTCCATCTGAACAATCTTCATCTTCACTTTCTTTTTGTTTTATTCTTTCTTCAATTATATGGATTTGAATTAAATTATAAGAGATGTAACAAATTAAAATAATTATGAGTATAGAAATAATGAAAAACAGAAGAACAACGATATTATTCATAAATTTTTTTTTTTTGAGTTATTTTTTTTTAAGAAAAAAAAGGGTTTATATGAAAACAAAAATCTTTTAAGAATCTAATTGAAGAATGAAATTAACATTCAATGGAAGTGATAGTTTAAATAATGTTTATTCAAGTATTGAAGAAGTTTATAAACTTGTTAATAAAAATGATTGGTATCAATTAGATAAAAAAGTATGGGATAATATGGAAAGTAGTGATAAAGGAATGGTTGATGGATATACCAAATTAATTCCGATAGATGAAAGTAATAGTCATACTTTTTTAAGAAATATTTTAATTAAAATGAATTGTAATATTGAAGATTGTTTAGATCTTGGAGGTGGAGTTGGAAGAGTTACAAAAGATGTATTATCTCGTTATTATAAACATATTGATGTAGCTGATCAATGTTTAGTTCATGTTAATAAAGCAAAAGAATTAAAAGAAACACTTCCATCATTTAATGATGCATTTGTTTGTGATATGCAAAATTTACAATTAAATAAACAATATGATTGTATTTGGATTCAATGGTCAATTCTTTATTTAAGAGATGATGATTTAATTGATATGTTAAAAAAATGTAAACAACATTTAAAAGAAGGTGGAATAATTATTATAAAAGAAAATGTTGGAACTGATGGATTTTATTGGGATCGTTCTGATAATTCTTTAATGAGAACAGTTGAACATATGACTCATTTATTTGCACAATCAGGATTACAAACATTACAAATTAGAAAAGACTTAAATTATCCAACACAATTTTATCCACTTTATGCTTTTCTTCTTCAATAATCAAAAAAGCAATTTTTTATTATTATTTTTTCATTTTACTTGCAAATGCCTTCCAACTATTTTTTTTTGTTTCTAAATCCTCTTCTTCTTTTTGTTGTCTAAATTATTTAAATATTAAATTGTTTAAATAAATAAACAAAAAAAAATAACAAACTTCATAAGAGATTTTAACTGATGTCTTTTTTTTCTTTTAAGTAATAAATCTTTTTCAGTGTCATTAGGTTTTGGTTTTGTCCATTTAGGTAATTCAGTAATTGTTTTTTTAGGAAGTTTTCTAATTTTAATTTTAGAAGTATTTATACTTGATAATTGTACTGAATTAATGTCACTAAATGGTTTAATTTTATCTAATGAAACAAGTTGATTATCACGAGGACCAAATCTGACCCAATACATTTGATTATTTGATGGTCTTGTAATCATTGCAGCAAACCATCCATTATCTCTTTGACTCCATGCAATAACTTGGTCATTTGGTTTAAAGTAAATGGTTTTTGTTTCATTTGTATTATTAGAAGAACTGTTGTTTGTTAGTTTTAATTCTTCTTTTGAAGATAAGATTGTCAAACGGTATTGTTCTAATTGTTTTTTCAATGTATTAAGTGTTGTTTCTGCTTCTTTCTTTAATGAAAGAATTTCTTCATTTGTTGAGTCCTCAACTAATAATTCATTAAGGTCTTTTAAGTCTAATTCTTGTTGAGTGATTGCGTTTTCTAATTGTTCAATTTGTTCCATTTATTTTTTTTTAGTTTTAGTTTTTATTTTTTTATTTTTTATAGTTATTCTATGAATTGAAGGTTGAACATGTTAGAAATATCACTAACATTATAATAAATCAAAGCTTTGAATTATCAGTTATAATATGATTATGATGTTGGACTTACTTAGAAATTATCTTATTCATTCTTACATAGATGAAAGTGATTATTATTTATTATGATGAAATTTCATTTATTATATTAGAAGAATGGGTATTTGTAAAGATGGCATATGGTTTACTTGTTGGGGGAGTGAAAGATATTTGATAATGAATGGTTTAAATTGAACTTATGAGTATTATCGAAGGAAAAGGATATATTGGGGATGGTTAAAAATAAAAGAAATTAATCATAATAATACAGTAATAATAACATAATAACATGTTCATTCATTACAAAATAAGAAAATAAAGAATGAAGAAGTTTTAATATTCATTAAGCTTCAAACAAAGATGAGGTAATTCCTTAAATGAAGAATAGTTAAGTTAATGAAGTTTGAAATGATATTAATTCAAAGGAAATAAGGTGTGTTGAAGAAAATGAAACATTCACTTCTCAACGTGATGAAAAGCTAAAGAATAATTGAATAAATGATGAATAAACATTCTTAAGGCATAATGAAGTGGTTATTCCTTGATGAACAAAGAAGAATAGAAAATAAAAGTAATACCACTTAATTGATCATTATTTATTCTTATTAATATTGGTTGTAGTTATTCTATTATCATTGAGGTATTTTCATAAAACAATGATATTTAGGGTTCTATTTTTTCTCTATTATTCTAATTTTGATCAAAATATTCTTTCCATCGTAAACCGAAAAGAAATGAAACATGAAAAGATTAAGGAAAAAGAAATTAAAAAACAAAATTACTTCAAAAAAGATAAAATTGAAAAAAATTGTATAGAGATAATTACAAGATCCCAAAATACTCCATGTTATTCGTTTTTTTTTTTAGTTTTTCATAATGAATTTTTCTATTACTTTTCTTGTTCTTTTTCTATGAATTTTCGTTATATTTTATATTAATTATAATAAAAAGAATAATAAAAAAAAATTCAAAATCATAGTTTAATAACATTGAAACTAAAAAATCGAAAATTGTAAAGAAAATTCATAATTTATTGTAACTTATAAATGGAAAGGAAAATATAAACTGATAATTCAAATGAAAACAAACTTAGTAAAAGGATCTCCTACTTTTAATGAAATTGATTCAACACCGATTGAAAATTCATCAGAATATAAACTTAAATTATGTTTTTGTCCATTATGTTCAACAGGTATAACAGCACTAGGAAATAGTGATGGTAGAGGAATAATTTCATGGCAACATATTTGTAGAGTAATTCTTTTTTCTTTAACTGTAAAAGAAAATCCTAAGAAATTCTTTTCTTTAAAAGGTGATATGCTTTGGTTCGTAGTTGATCATTGGTTCTTATTTGGAAAACTTCACCAATTTAGAACAAATCCTAATAAATGGAAAAAAGCTTTTCTTGATGCTTTAAGTCATTCAACTTATTTTGAAAGTGGAACTGGGTTTTTAAAAAAGCCTGGTTATTGGAAATTAACAAACACAGCTGTTCCTTGGGATGAGAAAATAGATTATTTTTCTGAATCAACTAAAACAAAATTACAATTACCTATTATACTTGACCATTCTTTAACTCATTCTACATTATCTTCTTCTTCAAAATCTAAAATAGAAAAATATTGTATTGACGCTTGTCAATCTTTTAACAACGCATTATCTTCATTACAAAATCAAATGAAATTTTCTAATTCAACTGAAAATTTTGCACTTATGCATCAATTGAAAGAAGTTCAATCTATTATGCTTAAAACTGAACATATCATTTCTTCTATTAAACAATTAAATGTTACTTCTCAAATTATTTCTTCCTCTTCTTCAAAAGATGCTTCTTCTAATTCTTTCTTCACTTCTTCTGATCAGGAAGAAGAAGTAAATCCTTTTGATAGTTTTAATCCTCAATGGTGTTAATATTTGTTCATTCTAATTGTTTTTTATTATCTTTTTCTGTTTCATCTTACTTACTAAAACATTATAGTATCTTTTTTTTAACTCTTATAACGAATATCTTCTAATATGTCATTTTTACTTCATTTGGAAGATATTGTTTTCTTCATTTATAATAATTTGAAATTTGTTTAGTATTTAAAAAATATGACAATTTTAAAATGACTTTTTTGATTGGATGTTTTATTACCCTTTTTTGTATTTTTGAGTTATGATTTAATGAATTATATTATTGCTTTGTTTAGTAATAACTTTTTAAGTACAATTGTATTTGAGAATATACATAACCATTTGATTTTAAGTTGAAATTGAAAGTTCTATAAAAAGATTTTTCTTTGGTATATCATTCTATTTTTATTCTTTGGTATTTATTTCATCAAAGATGTATGTTGAATTGAATACATTTGATATTCATAAAGAATAAAAATGAGTTATTCTTTCCATTCTCTGTTAAAAAAAGTATTTGTACGTTATAGAATAATATATATAGCTATACACAAACTTAATATTTAAAAATAACAAAAGTATATCACTTAAACAAAAGTAATAAGTCTTAATAAAGAATGAATTAAAAAGAATATAATGTAATAAAAATGAGTATGAAAGATGAATTATACTTACTACTTTTATAGACATACAGTAAAAATAATAAGAATAAAAGTATATTAGATATATTACAGAAATAGATTATTTTATTGAGATGACAAATATCATTCTCAACTTATAATTTAGTTCAAAGAATTAATAATTTGTAATTCATTATTGTTAATTAGACAAAGTATTTTTTAAATAATTAATTATAAAATCATTAATTATAAAATCAAAGATAAAATCAAAGAAAGAAAATGGCAACGAAAAAAAAGCAAATAATT